GCGGGGCGGGTCATATGACGCTCTCCCAGAACTGGACATCCACACTGTAGCCATCATTCAGTTATAGCGCGGTCAGCAAGTGGTTAAGAATAGTGATCATGTGAAGAAATTTATTAATCAAAATGTTTGGCTCCTTTTTAAATCCTTAAAAAGGAGCCATAACCTGGAATTTTTTGGCCTTGGTACAGACACACAAGGTGACCCACACATGTTAAAATGGCAATTAAAGGTTATATCCCATCTGTGGCTTTTTAAATTGCAATTGGTTTTCAGTGTAAAAATAGTCAATGAGTTGTTAGCTCTCACGTGGATGCACTGAGCAGGCTAGATATAGAGCCATGGGATCAGAAAAGAACTGTCAAAAATAAACAAAGTAATGGAACTTTAAAAGGATGCAAAAAAAATATATAAAAAGATATACAAACCATTGAATATGTCAGTCAGTACTGCAACCACTTATTAATAAGTGGAAAATTTGGGATTGCTTGATAGCCAGCCAAGGTCAGGTAGACCAAAAATGATTGCAGCCACAACTGCCAGAAGAATTGTTTGGGATACAAAGAAAAACCCACAGGAAACCTCAGGAGAAATACAGGGCTCTGGAAAAAGACATTTGTGTTTGTTTCAAGGACACCAAAAACGATGATAATTATGGCTAAAATATGATTTTTATTCAGAGGGTGCATAAAGTAATACAATAGGCACAATAGGGTGTAGATTAAAACAATAACCAAACCAGTCCCCACAAACAGAAAAAGGGAAAACACAATTCAGGTCAGAGTGAATACACGGTCCAAATCGTCCAAACAGCGAAAAACTTTTAAGATGTTTCATTTTCCTGGGTCAGTAGTTCCTCCAGCCTCATTGTACCATTCATAACATGCACCCAGTGTAAGAGGGAGGGAGCACTGGATGATTTCCACTTGGAAGGTATCAACTGTCTGCCAACAGACACAAAAAATTGGAGCAGACTCATTTTTTGTTGACATAGAGAGCCTGGTAGAAGGGATAACAGGGCATAAAATTTGATACTTAAACAAAAATGAGCTGCAGGGTCGAGTTCCCAGAAGAAGCCTTTACTGGTCAATCCCTCAAAAAAGGGTTTTACAATATGTCCAACAACACCTTGATACACCTCACAGCTCTGGCACACTGTAATCTGGAGTGACAAGACCAAAATAGAGCTTTATAGTCAAAAACCATAAGCGCTATGTTTGGAGAGGGTCAACAAGGCCTATAGAGACAAGATTATCATCCTCACTGTGAAGCATGATGGGGGTTCACGGGATTTTTTGGGGGGGGGGGGGTGTTAGCTTTAAAGGCCACAGGGAATTTGGTGAGAATTGATGGCATGTTTTCTTTAACCGCCTCCGCCCCCATATAGTGAAATGACGGGCGAAAGTCGTTCTCTGGTTCTGGGAGGACATCATATGACATCGTCCCATTCTAAGCACGCATGCGCGGCTTCGGGAGAGCGCAGCGTGGCGATCTGTGGTGCCCTGATGATCTGTGTAGCCCCAGCGTGTCACCTGTCAGTGTCCATCACTGTCAGTGCTCATTCCATGCCACCTGCCAGTGCCCATCAGTGCCACATCAAATGCCACAATCAGTGCCTACCAGTGCACATCAATGACACGTATCAGTGCCCATCTGAGGCTGCCTTTCAGTGACACCCATCAGTGCCAGTCTAGTGCCACCTATCAAAGCCAGTCAGTGCCACCTATCAGTGCTGACCAATCAGTTTCCACCTATCAGTGCCAGTCTGTGCCGCCTATCAGTGCCAGTCAGTTCCGCATTTTCAGTGTGCCAAATGCCGCCTATCAGTGCCATTATGTGCCTATCAGTGCCGCCTAACAGTGTCACCTAACAGTGCCCGTCAGCGCTGCCTATCAGTGCCAACCTATCAGTGCCATATATGAGTGCTGCCTTTTTAGTGCCATCAGTGTTTCCGTCAATGGGCCCACAGGGCCACCTACCAGTGCCTCCTCATCAGTGCCCATCAGTGCCACCTATCATTGTCCATCAGTGCAAGCTGTCAGTGCCCATCACTGCAGCCTCATTAGAGGCACATCAGTGAAGGAGAAAAATCACTTATTTTCAAAATTTTATAACAAAAACTAAGAAAAAAACTTTTTTTTCAAATTTTCAGTGGTTTTTTTGGGTTTTTTTAGCAAAAAATAAAAAAACCAGAGGTGTTTAAATAAAGCTAAAATAAAGTCTATCTGTCACAAAAAAAATAATAAAAATTGCATATGGGTACAAATGTTGCATGACCGCGCAATTTGTCATTCAAAGTTTTTGACCAGTGCTTAAAGCGGAAATTGGCCTGGGCAGGAAGAGGGTATAAATGCCATGTAGGCTAGTGGTTAACAATGGTACAATGCTGTAAAATTACTAATTCTCCAAGGATATGCAAACTTTTGAGCACCAGCTGCAATATAATTTTTCCCTAAGGTATAAACCACAGAAGTTATCAATGTTGTAGACCAAAAATTTCCCTCCACTGCTTCTTTGGCCTCATGCACACAGGACTTTTTTTTCCACACCTGAAACCTTTGCGTCTGTAAAAAGCAGCTTTAAAAAAGCACCTAAAGCCAGGTTTTCCCCATGCATTTAGGTGCTTTTTGGGCGCGTCAACCCTTTTTGGGCGTTCATTGATTCCATTGCACAAAATTTTTAAATTTATTTAGCCATTGGAATGGAGGGGGGCTCAAGCACTAAATGTGTTAACAGTAAGACCCATGTGTGGGAAAAAACTTACATTTTGGGGCCCAAAAAAGCCCCTTCCCTGAATGTTTTGGGATTTTTTTCGGGCCTTTAGGCTGCTTCAACCCAGGGGCGGACGGAACCCCCCATTTGGAAACTCGGGTCAGTGGGGGGCCCCTGGGGAAGCCCCGGGTCCCCTTTTTTTTTTGGTTTTTTTTGAGTTTGGGAAAGGAAAACGGGGCCCATGTTCCCTTTGCGGGGGCCCCATAAAGTTGTCGCCCAAACCCCTGATTCCATTGGCGTTTTTTTGCTTGAAGCTAAAAAGTTTGAAGCCCCAAAAAATGTTCAAACAAAAAAAAAAAACTCTGTGGGGCCTGTTGCGTGATCACTTTGTAATGGGCACCTTAAAAAAATTTGGGTTTTTTAATTTTGAGTTTTTTTGGAGCTTCAAGTGAAAACACTAAAGTGTGAATGCGGGCCAAAATGTCCCTTTCTTTACCCCGGGAAATTACCTATTTTTTGAAAATTACCACCACTCATTTTCTTTATTCTGGCGCAGTTTACTTCAGATCCTCGGGGGCCCTGTTCAAATTTAAAAACCCCCATTACCCTGTCATGCCTTTCCCAATTTGTTTTTTGGGTTAATTAGGCATTTTTTTAGTATGTTTTATCAGTTTGTAAATTCTTGTTCATTGTTTTAAACTGCTCCAATTCTAGGGGTTTTTTGTATCCCACTGCATCTTTTCCACAGAGAATTTTTGGCCCCATTTCAGTTCCTTTAGCTTGTACCCTTTATGAATCTGATTACTTCATCGCCAGGCTCATAGCAGCCTTTTCTCATAACAGACCCTTTTCCTGTGGTTGCTGGTAGGTTTCCAGCCCCCCACATTCAGGTTCAAAATTTAGCATGTGGGTTTGGGTCTATACACATGTCAATCTTATGATCTGTGTTTTATGTAACCAAAATGTCTTCCCCTTGTTTTTATATGTGCTTTTGCCTTATTTGAAATGAAAATTTGCTTTGCAATGGCGGGAAACAGTGTTCTAAGTGCCTTATTTTCTGTTTCATTTTTTACCTTTTTTAATCTTTGAAAATAAAGACCAAAGTTGGACGTTGTTTTTGTAATTCATTGCCGAAAAAGGTTTAGTTTTGTAAAAGCTATGTCCCTTAAAAACAAAAGGGGGGACAAAAACAGGGGGAAACGCGGCTTTTACAACTGGTTACGAGGACTGCTACCCCTGAAGTCCGGGGCTGCAGTGAAACGGCGGCTTCTTAAAAAAGTGGTACGGGGGGAAGGCGACCCCTAAAGTCCGGGATTTCCCAGGGGAAACCCGAGGGGTTTTTTACAAGCTGGTACGAGGACTGCGACCCCTGAAGCCCTTAAACTGCAGGGGAAAGGTGGCTTCCCCACAAGCGGGTAAAGGGGAAAATTTGCAGTTTCGCCCCCGCAGCGGTTGCAAGTGTGCTAACCGTTCACGCCATATTGTCAGCAAGGGAATCGGACATTTCGGGGAAAAGGGTCTCAAATTAGTTAACCCAAAGGTCAGGGAAGATTTTGGAGCGCCCCACCGTCCCCATTGCCCGCGCAAAGGGCCGAAGCCCCAAAACCCCCGCCCCGACATTTGCCGAAAAAAAGAAAGAAAATTTAAAAAAATAGCGAAAGCATGCACGGAAAGGGCAGCTTAAAAAAGTAACTGGGGAAAAAGAAGTTTGAGGCTGTACCCGAAGCAGGGGCTTTAGAGGAAGCAGCAATTTTCCCAAAAAGCGGTAGACTCAGCTAATAAGTGGCCCGAACCCAGTTTTCCCACAATAACTTGCAACGCATTTCCCGATTACGTACTGCAACATGTAAGTCAAAAGACTCCCTAAACCCAGGCCCAAGGGAGGAAACCATCAACCCCCTGCAAAGGGAGTTTCCAAAAGCTCCAGTCTAAAACAAGGGGACCTCATTTAAACCCAAAAAAGGACCCTGCATGGAACAAGTGGGAGGGTTTTCCATAGAACATCAACCCCAATTTGAAACCCGCATTAAAACCCCACAAATGATCGCGGGTAGGGTTCCAAACCCCTTTTTAAAGGAAGAAAAAGTAGAGGGTCCCCTTTTTTCAGCAACAATTGTAAAAACAGAGATACGGGGTATGTCGATTTTTAAAATTTTTTTTCCCCGACGTGAGTTAAAAAAAAAAAGGGGATCTCCAGTTTAAGGACAGCCCTGAAAGCTATGGGGTCATGGGGGGGCATCATTCAGGAAAATATCAGAGATCTGGATCTGTCTGCATGTGAAGAAATAAAATCTTCTTGTAAAGGGTGGGAAAATGGGGTCGGAAGAGCATGCAATGGGGGAAATTTAGAAAACATTAATTTTAACTCCCCAATCAGGGGGTTTTTAAAACATGATATGGGAGGAACTTGAGGGGGGTTACGGCTCCCCAAGAATTTGATAGAGAACGCATTTTAAAAAGAATTGAGGATTTCCCTAAGACCCAAAAACAAAGGATTAGAAGCAAAGAAAAATAAAGTGATCTGTTAACAGAGCTAAAAAGTTGCCAAAATGAAGGAGCCCTTTCAAGGGTTGCATTTTTAGATCCCTAAAAGTGGTGTAAACCCCTTTGTAAAAAAAATTAAACGTAAAACCCTGCAAGAGGAAGTGGATTGCTCGGTCCGGGGTTAAAGGGCAACAGAACAAATGTCTCTTTCCCCTCCATTCTTTTTTTTTGGGAAATTTGGGGGCTCCAAAAAGCAAAAACAAGGAATGACCCCGTTTTTAATTCTCGATGTTTGACACGCTTCCCCCAAATGGGTTAAACCCTATCTCACTTGGGAAAACATAAAAAGGGTTTTAAAAGGGTTTTGCAGTACAAAAAACCCAGTTTTTGTCTCTTAAAGCTCCTAAAAACCAAAACGAAATGCAAAAAGGTTTGGGAAAAAAAAACTTTCTGGGGGGGAATCGGGGGAATTTTCCCTCAAGGAAAACCCCCTTTGCTACAGGTGTTGTGCCTCAACCTCTCTTCTTGAAAAAAGGACTTGCACGGGCGAACATAAAATTGCTCAGAATGAACAGTAAAGCGCCATAAGTTTTTTAACCCCCGGGGCCAGCCCTTTGGACTCTCACCCCCCCGGGCCCGGGTTTTGAGACGGGGGGGAGGAGGGAGGACCAAGTACCCCTAAAGGGGACCCCCCGTGCCCCCAGTCTGGGGAAGAAGGTTTTTAGTTAAAAAATCTTGCCCCAAAGATTTGCCCTTGTTACGGGTTTACCCCATCGGTCATAAAGGGGAAAGGGGGGAAAGGGGTTGTAGGGACCCTTGATGCCCAAAGAAAATAGATCTCTTGCAAACTCCCCCTTCTTTGATAACCTTCAGTAAAAAAAGGGGGACACTGTTCTTCATATTCATTTAAAAACTTGCGTGGTGGGGAGTGGAAAAGGCAGGGCAAACGGGTTTTCCCAAAGCCCAAATCCAAAATTTAGTGAAGCATCCCTGAATTTACCTACCTTGATTGAATGCAATCAGATCCCAAACAACTAGAGAAGAGATTTCCTACACCTGAGGCAGCCATTACATTTCATGAAACATTTAAAACCATAGCGCATATCATACTGCACTCGGGACCAAAGGGCCCAAATAGTACTATTCTCCTTGGGGTGTAGATATCATAAGAGTCCACAGGTAGAAAACAAATAAATGGTCCTCATAGTTCTCCATATGCTAGAAGCTTGACTGGGGAGGGTCATCATAGGTGATTGTTTGCCTTGGAAATGTTCACCAGCCAACCACAGTGATTTCTCTTTACACAAAAACCTTGGAGAAGAATGGGACGTCCATCCCTCTTTCAGCCTTGTCCCCAAACAGATTCCTTCTAGAGAGAGAAGCCGGCAAGTGTGCTATATCCTGACTTTACAGAAAAACCGTGAATCCACTCTTGCAAGTGAAGACCAAGAATCACTTGGGCGTGTGCACGGTGTTCCAGAGGGACAAAGGCCTGACCACAAAGATAACTCCCTCTATTGATGATGGAGGCCCTTCTTGGGCATAATGGAACAAGGATCTTCTTCAAGGAATAAAAACAAACACCTGTGGATGCACCACTACCTTTCACAAAACTCACAGAACGACGTCATGTTCCCAAACAAACAGGTATTCGAGGTTCATAAGAACTGCTTCTTACACTTAGAACGGCAACTTTTCAGAATAGACCAGATGATGAAGGAACATTTCGTCATAATTCATGAAAAAAGATGTTTGAGAGAACAATCAGGCAGAAGTAAGCTCCACCCACTAAAGAAAAAGAGAGAGAGATGCTGGGATCTACCAATCTTACGGCGTTTACACACCTATAGAAAGCCAGGGACGACTAATCCCGTAGTGTGTAATTTGACCTCCAGTTCACATAAGTTATGAGGGAGTCTCTCTCAATGATGATCCTTTTGACAGAACCAGAACCACAATAACTCACTTCTCGATGTTCCTCATCAGTTTCCGTAAAAGGAACCCATC